AGTTTCTCAAACCCAATAACCAAAGACTTTGACTTACTAATGGAATATTCTTTACTCAGAGAAACATAACTTTGACTCTGACATAATTATCTATTGTCTTTAAAGAAACTAGTAAAGTATAAAACCATTGATGAAATTTTAGCCACTGGTTAGGTGCCAAAGGTTTGTGGTTTTTTTTTTTTTCTTTCTTTCTTTTTTTTTTTTTTAAGATTTTATTTATTTACCTGACAGACAGAGATCACAAGTAGGCAGGCAGAGAGGGAGAGGAGGAAGCAGGCTCCCCATGGAGCAGAAAGCCTGATGTGGAGCTCAATCCCAGGACCCTGGGATCATGACCTGAACTGAATGCAGAGGCTTAACCCACTGAGCCACTCAGGCACCCCCAAAGGTTTGTTTTTCAACAGGTACCTTTTAGAAGCTGGGAGAGAGTATACCTTTCCCCCATATATTGTTCCCTACTAAGTTGTCCCAAATGGATTACCAATAACTAGAACTGTAAGATAGGACCAGATAATTGCTAACATTCATTGATCAGTTTCTTATGTGCCAGGGGTTGTCTAAACATTCTACATATTTTTATCTTGCTTCCTTCTCGCAACACCTCTGTGAAGAACTCTTCAGTATCCCCATTTTAAAGACAAAGAAACTGGGGCGTAGGCTGAGTAACTTGCTTGAGATCACATAGCTGGTCACAGTGACTCTTGATTCGACCCCAAGCCATCTGACTACAGAACCCCAGCTCTTAACCACTCTCCTATGCAAACAGACAAATGTCTACAAAAATAAGCTGAGAGAGGGAAAATGTCCTCTTCTAAAACTGGGGGGAATGATTTAGTCATTCATAGGCTGTGGGTAGAACGAAATAAAATAATACATGGAAGTTGCTTGTAACAGCGCCCAGCTCCTAGTGGTCTTGAGTAGTTGTTAGGTATCGTGGCCTTATCCTCATGGGGGGGTGTCTGGCCTGCTGGGAGGGCTGCCCTGAGCCTTTGGTAAACAAGCACAGTGACCAAAAGAGCTGAACCCTGTGGCACTTCGAAGGTGGGACTAGAGCACGAGCTGGCAGCTGCCACGCACCCAGCCGAACAAGGGTCTCGATATTGGGCGGATTTTCTGTTTCAGTATTTCTCCAAGAGCAGGGTTTCCCTAGTGATATATTTTATAAACATGTCAAACTGCCAGCTGTTTTCTGTGCTTTTCTGATAAGGGAAATACTTAGAATCTGTGCTCTGCCACCTTAAAACACTAAATATATTGGTTTGAAATAAAAGACTATACATCGTTGTTTACTGCCAAGTGCCCTAAAGAATTACGGTGGCATGAGGGATGGCTTTCTGCGGTCCTATACGTGCAGAGACCTCCAAGCCCAGGCAGTGCTTTGGGCCTTTGGTCTTTAAAGGGAGGCCACGCGGTCAGTGTCCTTCGTGGCCCGAGAGCGACTGTGCAGTTGGTTGTTCTGGACTGAGTATGTTCCCCCCAAATTCCCGTCTCGAAGCCCTAGTGCCCCAACTTGAAGGAGTTTGGAGATGTGACTCTGGGGAGGTCCTCAGAGTCAGATGAGATCATGATGATGGTGCCCTCATGATGGGATTAGTGTCCTTAGAAGAGGAGACCAGAGAACCTGGTGAGCATGAGGGACAGTAGGACGGTAATGGTATCCATGTTAAGGAAAAGAAAGCACAGCCACTTCTCCGAAGTCAACGGGCAGTTCCTGAGCTTAGCAAGGGAGTGAAGTGAGGCCAGCTGAGTGTGAGCCTGGAAACTTCATGATATTTCAAAGGGCAAAAGGAAGATGGTTATCAGACCTACAGTTTTGGTTTTTTTTTTAAGATTTTATTTATTTGACAGAGAGATCACAAGTAGGCAGAGAGGCAGGCAGAGAGAAGGGGAAGCAGGCTCCCTGCTAAGCAGAGAGCCCAATGCGGGGCTCGATCCCAGGACCCTGAGATCATGACCTGAGCCGAAGGCAGAGGCTTAACCCAATGAACCACCCACGTGCCCCAAGACCTACAGTTTTGATGGTTTTCAGTGAGATCATCCTAATTAACTGACTAATCTCACCTTAGGAATGTTGGTTTTTATCCAGAAAAATCAGATATGAAGTCACATTGAAAGAGAGTAATGGAAATAGGGTACTGCATTTAAGAAGCACACTTCCCCTTTTGGGGTCCAGTCACATGGTGCTAATGTGACTGACTTGGCTCCCTAGCAGAAGATCTGAGTTCCTCAACACCACTTCAGCAGAAATTGTTATGGTAATAGTGTGAGAGTGTGAGGGCCTTTTGATCCTGCTGATTAACATGAAGCTTGGCTAACCTGATTATATGACTCTTCCAGAGACTGGGTTTAGATCCGTTAATACAGCATCATAAATTCAAATGAAGCTTCCTTGGGCCATCTCATCCCAGAACTGTTGTATTTTATTATTTGAAAATGAGACTCCCTGTTTGCATAGAGATAAAGTTTAAGTGTATAATTTATTTTGATTTTAAAAATTAATCTCCATGTTGCTCTTCCCGTTAAGAAGTGAAACCCTGTGGTACCACAACCGTGGATAATTCAGCCATCCACTCACTAAATGTATATTAAATGCCAGATGTCATAGGCCATGTGCAAGGTCCTGGGCCCTGTGGTGAAACATAAAGGCAAGGGCCCAACCTCATGCTTGCTTGTCTTCCACAGGAGAGAGGATCCAACCCATTTTTCAACTTTTACCTCAGTCAGTCTTCTTGCCACGTGTGCCTGGGCCAGGACAGAGAATGTGAGGCAGACAGGCAGAGGGCGGAGACCACTCAGAGCAAGCAGTAGGGGGAGGGTGGGCAGTCATTTTGCAGTCTACTTTGAAGGAAAACAAAACTTCCTTTGCAATACAGTTAATAGACTTTAATATTAAAAAAAACTTTGAGGGGCGCCTGGGTGGCTCAGTGGGTTAAGCTTCTGCCTTCAGCTCAGGTCATGATCTCAGGGTCCTGGGATCGAGCCCCAAGTAGCACTCTCTGCTCAGCGGGGAGCCTGCTTCCCCCTCTCTCTCTGCCTGCCTCTCTGCCTACTTGGAATCTCTCGCTCCCTGTTAAATAAATAAATAATTCTTTAAAAAGAAAAGAAAGAAACTTTTGAGAGTTGTCTGGGTGACTCAGTCTGTTAAGCATCTGCCTTCAGCCCAGGTCCTGATCTCGGGGTCCTGGGGTCGAGCCCTGCGTCGGGCTCCCAGCTTAGTGGGGAGTCTGCTTCTCCCTCTCCCTTTCACCCTTCCCCCTGCTCATGCTCTCTCTCCTCAAGCAAATAAATATAATCGTTAAAAAATAAAAACAATAAGAAACAAATAAAAGAAACTTGGAGCAGTTGCAAACACAGGGGTTGTCTGCTTTAATACAAAGATATGTCACTCCAGCCATAGAGCACTGTACAGAGAGTGTTGGCAGACTGACTGAAGAACCATAGGGGGAAAACATCCTAAGTGGTTCCAGACAAAGAAAGTTTACCTAATCACATTGATTAAACTCACCAATACCTAATAAAGGGGAGATTGGACATTCATATCAGAACCCACTGTACATAATTTGTGGTTTGCTATATGTAATTACACTCAAGTAAATTACAGGGTAATCTGTATATGTTCTCACTTCATAGCACAAATGGAACCATTTGAACGAGTCCCCTTTTTTGCCATTGAGAGTCACGTATGGAAGACCCATCAATATGAAAACTTCACGGGCTGGAGCTATGATTTGTCGTGCTTGTGGCTTCATCCCCGGTACCTAGCACAGTGCCTGTGTATAGACTTTGGTCATGTTTTCTAGCGGCCCAGGCCTTTTGCATACTCTTCCTGTGTTTAGGAAAGGTCTCACCTTACAAATCCTGCCTCCCCAAAGTAGAAGCCAGAAAACAGATCTCCCAGCCTCCCTCACGGCTAAGACACAGACACATGGGCCCCAGGCTCCCCCAGCCAGCTGCACCCAGGGGACTTCTGTTCAGAAGTGAGCAACACAAGGAAGAGGGCTTTGCCCCAAAATGAATTTTTTCAGCCATGGTGACAACTGACGCATCAGGCTTTCTCCTCCAGAGAGCTTTCCCTGAGCATCCCCCACCCCTCTCCAGGTCTACTCTGTCGTTGTACTTTTCCACTGTATTATGATTATTAGCATCTTTTATTGGGTTTTAATCTGTTGTGATAGTGAAGGTCATACTAGTTGCTGTCCCCAAAAAACTGAAAATATACGGTGACCAAAGGAATGTCCTTTTCCTCATCACAAAAGGTCGAAACAGGGTACCCGGGATTGGCAGACAGCCCTGGGGCGGGAGAACATTCAGGCACTCAGGCGTCCTTCATCTTGTGGCCTCCCCGTCTGTGCCCCGCGGCTCCCGAGGGTGCCCTGCCCACGCGAGCCAGGCCAGAAAGCGAAGGGCATGGAGAATCGTGCGCTGGGGGTTTTAGGAGCCAGGTCTTGAAGTGACACTTGGCACTTCTGCTCCCATTCTACTGCTCAGAACTCAGCCGCGTGGCTACATCTCAATGGCAAACACCGTCTAGCTTCCTGTGGCTTCTTCCAGATAAGAGAAAATTACGAGAAAGTGCCATTCCTGCACTTTCTGTCTACTGCCTTGCTCCCTTCTTCCTTAGCTGGGGAAAAGGATTACAGTAAGAAGGCTGATTATCCGGTAACCCTGTGCAAATCACAGACAGACGTGGCTCTGCTCTGGATATCCTTCCCTTGGCTCTCTGGTGCTTTTCTGCTGAGTGGCTCTGTGGGGGCGGGGGGGAGGGGTATACAGTCATTAGAGAGTTATTTCTGAATGATTGGCCTAAAACTGCTTTTATCTTGAGGCTCCCCATGTGTCCGTTTGAAAGAGAAAGTGCTTAGCACGTAGTCTGGGCGCCACATGTGTTCTGACTTGCTGGCATGAGGAAGGCTTCGGGGGTTCCAGATCACTGCCTAGTGACCACCCACGGGCTAATGAAGGAAACATCTTTTTATTTCCCCTGCCTCTTCTGGACGTAGGTGCCCTATCAGCAGCCAGGGAGAGCTGGGAGTACGACTCGGGAGCCAGGGACCTCCAGAGCCCGGACTTGCAGAGTCATTGGGCCCTGCAGAAGCTTCTCGAGCACAGTGGACGCTCTTTGAGCCAGCAGGCTGCGGCCCTCCACACGCTGCGCACACAGTCCCGGCATTTTGGCAGCTCTGGAGGAGGAAGCTATCTGGAGCTGGCCAACACGGTGAGTACTTTCTGGTTCATGGAACACGTCTTTTGGCCTGTGTGTATTCCGGTACAGATATTTTCATTTTGAGCTCCAAGGGACATACTGGCTCTTGTCTTTCTTCTGGAGCTAAACATTGTGCCATTGACAGCATTGCCAGGAATGTTAAGGGCTCCAAACACTTGTGGTCAGTGAATTTGCTCTTATCATTGAGAGCAGAGTGCTCTCCTAAAAGGCGTTTCAATGAAGTCTGTAACTTGCAGGATTTAATTACTAGAGAAACGACATCAGCGTTTCCATGACTAGAGTACTTCTATGATACTGACATTACAAACTGATAGACTATAATCCTTTCTGTTCCCTAATTTGGATGTTACTCATTTAAAATACAAAGAGGAAAATATTTTATTGAAAATTTGATTATTGTTTTCTGCTTGTACTTTAAAAAGGATTTTCTGTTGACAACCGCCTCCCTGGTCCTGCCACCATTGCCTCGTGGCACTCTCTCCCGTGTGCTGTCTTCAAAACATTTCTATCTCCTTAAAAAAAAATTTTTTTTTCTGTTGAAAATGGTGAAACAACTTAGAATTTCATTATGTTTAGTTTAACCTTCCCTTTGACCTCAGGATGGATCACAACCAGGGTGACCTTTTGGTGAAGAGCTATTGTCTTCCCTTCAAAGTTGAGCTGGGGAACGCAATGGGGTGGCTGAGGGTCTGGTCCATTTTGGGTGAACTGCAGACAGGCTGTAAACTGAGATTGCTTTCCAACCACTGTGCGAAAGGTCTACAAACCTACCTGGCTTTTTGAAACTGAAGTTTGAATGGTGGGATAAACACCGTGACAACTTCACTTACGTGTATTTATAGTCGGCTTTAATGTAGACTAGTGATTTTCAAACTTCTTGTGTTTGAGGTACATTTTCTAATTCTGACATTTTGGGTGACATGTTCGAAGGAATTGACGATTCTAAACATACCAGCAATAATTAAAATACAGGGACACCTGGGTGGCTCAGTTGGTTGGGCAGCTGCCTTCGGCTCAGGTCATGATCCCAGCGTCCTGGGATCGAGTCCCGCATCGGGCTCCTTGCTCTGCAGGGAGCCTGCTTCTCCCTCTGCCTCTGCCTGCCATTCTGTCTGCCTGTGCTCGCTCTCTCTCCCTCTCTCTCTGACAAATAAATAAAATCTTAAAAAAAAAAAAAAAAAAAAAAAAAAATAATTAAAATACAGTCCTTAGACAAATCCCGGTTAAAGGACATTCTATAAAATACCCGATCAATATTCTTCAAAACTGTCAAGGATGGTACAGGCAAGGAAAATCCGAGAAAGAGAAACCATCACAGCTCAGAGGAACCCAAGAAGTTATGACAACTAAATATATTGTGGCACCCCGGATGGGACATTAGGTAAAAAACTAAGGAAACCTGGATATATTATGGGCTTTAGTTAATAATAATGTGTCAATATTGGTTCATTAATTGTGACAGTATACCATAATAATATGTTAATAATAAGAGAAACAGCGTGTGAGTTATATGAGAACTATCTTTGCAACTTTTCTGTAAATCTGTAACGTACCAAAGTGTTCACTTTATTAAAATTCAGGAAGTATACCCTGACAGTTTGCATACTTTTCATATATACATTTTATGCGATCTATAAAAACTCATGACAAACTGATAATCAATAATGATGACTATTTATTGGGATACATTGACTAAGTAAAAAAAGAAAGAACATGGGAGAGAGGCAGAAAGAAACAAAGAAAGAAACAAAGAAGGGGCGCCTGGGTGGCTCAGTCAGTTAAGTGTCTGCCTTTGGCTCAGCTCATGATCCCAGGGTCCTGGGATTGAGCCCTGTGTTGGGCTTCCTGCCCAGTGGGGATTCTGCTCCTCCCTCTCCCTCTACCTCTCCCTTAGACTAGTTCTCTCTGTTGCCCAAATAAATAAATAAAATCTTTAAAAGAAGGAAAGAAAGAAAGGAAAAAAAGAAAGAAAGAATAAAATCTTTAAAAGAAGGAAGGAAGGAAACAAAGAGAGGGAGGGAAGGAGGGAAAGAAGCTATAACCCCACAAACAAAATCATCCACGCTCATTTAAGGTGATCCCTTGGTGGGAAGGAGACCATAAATACAAACACAGCCTTCGTTATCACAACGTGATATATTTTTTCACCGAATTGAACATTTCAAAATACCAGGGCACCTGGCTGGCTCAGCTGGTTAAGCATCCAAGTCCTGATTTCCAGGGATGTGATCTCAGGGTGGTGAGATCGAGCTCCACATCAAGCCCCTAGTGGGGCTCTGAGCTCAGTGGGGAGCCTGCTAGAGATTCTCCCTCTCCCTCTGCCCCTCCACTCCCGCCCCACCCCTACATGCACTCTCCTGCTCGAGCTCTCTTTCTCAAAAACAGTTTGAAAATTTCAAAATACTATTTAAACTCACAGACCCTAGGTAATGGCCTTGGACCCCGTGGTGCATTTTTGAACGCCGACACTTCACCATTTCCTGTATCTTCACCATTTGTCTCGTGACTTTGGAGTCCTCCTATCAAACGCGAGAAATAATAAATGATCGTGATTTTAACTGTTGCATGTAGGGCGGTTTCCTGCACAGCAATAGTCGACTCAGGCTTTGTTCACAGGGTCCCACGGAGCCCACTTTGAGGAATACCTTGCATAGGCAGTCAAAAAAGCAAATCCCCTCTCTAAACTGCACCCTTGGGCAGTCCCTTCACTTATGTACTCACATTACACATGATTTAAGTTCCTTGTAAAAATCCTGAACTAATAAAATTAAATGCTATTTTTTTAAATAGCTACTAAGCGCAAAAAACATTTTATCAGTGTCCAGTTCAGAGACAGAAAGCACACGGTAATTCACACAGGGAAAGTTGTTTGTTTGTTGTTGTTTTTTTAAATTGGGGCGGCTGGGTGGCTCAGTCATTAGGCATCTGCCTTCGGCTCAGGTCATGATCCCAGGATCCTGGGACCGAGCCCTGCATTGGGCTCCCTTCTCAGCAGGAAGCTTGCTTCTCCCTTTCCCACTTCCCCTGCTTGTGTTCCCCTCTTGCTATCTCTCTCTCTCTGTCAAACAAATAAATAAATAAATAAAATATTTTTTGAAAGGATTTTATTTTTTATTTGATAGAGCCAGAGACCATAAGCAAGGGGAATGGCAGAGGGAGAGGGAAGCAGGGAGCCCGATGTGGGACTTGATCCCAGGACCCTGGGATCAGGATCTGAGCCGAAGACAGACACTTAACCAATGAGCCACCCAGGCGCCCCCACACAGGGGAAGTTTAACATAAAAAAATGATTAACTAGTAGCGGGAGACTCCTCCTTACTACAGAGTAAAGAAAATTCTAATGCACCCAGGAGTTGCATGTGTAAAGAGGGGCTACTCCCTCCATAGCTGAGGCATAGCGCTCAAGGGAGACACAAATTAAGAAGACGTTCCTCTCCTCACCAGACCCTACTGGAAGGGAGTGGCTGGGGACCGCTAGATGGCAGAGAAGTTCCCCGAGATGCTACGGGCCAGCACTGGTGAGCGGGAAGCCAGCTCTCTGGAGTGTCAGCTCAGCCTGCTGGATGTCACCCATCTGGGTGTCTGCAAGACTCATTGAGCGTCACCAGGAAAGTGCCCACTGGGCTGCCAGAAGAATTCACTGGGGAGCAGCCTGGTGCTTGGTGCCAAAATCCACTGAGATGTCCTCCAAATGGTGCCTTCAGATGTGGTAACAATGGCTGTCCTGTGGCCTCCGTCCACCATAAGAGCAAGCAGGGAAGAAAAGCACCACAGAACCAGAATGAGAATTCCTTATTGAAAAAGGAGAGGGGTGCCTGGGTGGCTCAGTCTGTTGAGTGTCTGGCTCATGGTTTTGGCTCCATCATGATCTTGGGGTGTGGGGTCGAGCCCTGCATCAGGCTCTGCGCTCAGCGCAGAGTCTGCTTGGAATTCTTTCTCTCCCTCTCCCTCTGACCGTTCCACTGATGCTCACTCTCTCTCTAAACTAAATGAATCTTTAAAAAAAAAAAAAAAGGAGAAATGTTTACAGGGTCTGGCTTCACTATCACAAAGCAAGGCGAGGAAGATTGAGATGAGAGGTAATAAATCAGTAACTGGTACAGGCACTTTTAGTGCTGAGAAGCTTCTGGGAGCTTGCTATACAAGCTTTTACCTTTCTAAGCATCCCTTCCTTTTCTTCTGCCACCAAATACCTGTCTTATCCTTCTACCAAAGACAATGGATATTATGACTTTGAGGCTTAACACACTGTTCGAAATGCGAAAGCAACAAGATGGTGAGGTACCTAGAGTTTTATCTGAGAATCGGGTGGCTACATGTGGCCTAGAATGAGGGATTTATTACAAAGGGTAGACCTGACACAAATGCGGGAGCTGGGGGAGCTATCTGTCCAGGCTGTTGACTCTGCATCTAGGGTGGAGCCTGAAGTTACTCCCAGCCCATCAGATCAGCATACGAGAAGGACCGCTGATTGCAGAGGAGGCAAAGCCAAGCCAGCACGCATGACGCATGACGATGACCTGAGACCCATAAGGGCACAATGGAACCCACATCTGTTCTCTTACTACCACAACCAACCTCAGTGCTGCGGGGGTAAACTGGCCTCCTGTCATCCCAGAGCTGCACACACACCTGGCCCAGGACTCGGAGAAGCCAGAGGAGGAGACCTGGGGCTCTGGAGCTGCCACAAGCCCGCTGCACCAGGAGGGAAGTGGCCTGTTCACAACATCCCGAAATCTTCACCTCTACTTCCTGGATTTCACACGGAAGTTCTCACGTGGCCGTACAGAATCACGCAGGCAAGAGAATGCTGGGAAATGTCATTCCAGCTTAGATAAAGGGACAGGGCCGTGGCGAAACTGCCAGAATCAGCAAAGCGAGATGAGACACTGAGGAGCTTAGTAAGGAAGAGATGCCGGGAAAGACGCACCGGCTGCTCTCCGACGGCTTTCCTCTCCAAACATTTGTCTTGCAGGGAAGAGTCTAAGTGG